TTTCTCATTTTTGATAGCTGAGTAGTACTCCATTTTATATATTTAAAAAAACCCCACACATTTTCTTTATCCAGGCTCTAGCTGATGGAAAATTGGGCCGCTTGCAAATTTTAGCTATCATGAATTGTGCTGCTATGAACATGGGTGCACATATATCACTGTGGTATGATTCTTTTAATTCTTTGGGGAAGATCCCCAGCAGTGGAATCGCGGGATCAAATGGGACTTCCAGTCCTAGTTCTTTGAGGTATCTCCATACTGATATCCACAGTAGTTGCACCAGTCTGAACTCCCACCAGCAGTGGAGAAGGGTTCCTCTTTCCCCACAGTCCCGCCAGCATTTGGAACAAGAAGAGACCCAGAATAGCAAAAGAAATTCTAGGCAACAGAGACATGGCAGGGGATATTACTATCCCCAATGTGAAACTATACTGCAAAGCTACTGTGATAAAACAGCATGGTACTGGCAAAGAAACAGATCTGAGGACCAGTGGAACAGATTAGAAGATGCAGAAACAACTCCAGACACACTCAGCCACCTAGTCTTTGACAAAGTATCCAAATACCCTCATGGAAGAAAGATAACCTCTTTAAAAAATGATGCTGGAAAAATTAGATTTCAACTTCTCAAAGATTAACACTAGACCTATATCTTTCACCATGCCCCAAACTAAAATGAAAATGGATGAAAGATCTAAATATTAAAACAAAAATGCTGAACCAGCTGGAACAGAGGTTATGTAGAACTGTTGATGACATTGGTATAGGAAAAGATTTTATGAACACATCCTCGGTTGCCCGTGAACTAGCACAAACAATCAGCAAGTGGGATCTCTTCTTATTAAAAGTCTTCTGCACAGCAAGAGAAACCACCAGCAGTGTGAAGAGACAACCCACAATGTGGGAAAAAATCTTCACCTGCTCTTCCTCAGACAAAGGCCTACTATCTAGAATCTATAAAGAACTTTAAAAAATCAGACCTCCCAAATTTAAAGACCCAATCCAAAAATGGCCATCTGAAATGAGCAGACATTTCTCAAAGAAGCAGAAATAGTAAATAAATATATGAAAAAATGTTCAACATCACTGGTTATTCAAGAGATGCAAATGAAAACAACTCTGAGATTCCACTTCACCCCATGAAGAATGGCTGCTATCATGAAATCAACCAATAACAAGATTCAATTTATTTATTTTTGTTGTTTCTTGTGTTGTTATTGTACTATTCTTCTTTTTCTTTAGCACTTTCAGGTTTTTAAAATATATTTATAATAGCAAATTTGAAGGTTTGTCTGCTTAATTTATACATCTAGGCCCCTTTAAAGAGGCAGTACTGTTATCTGTTTTTTTAAATTTTGTGTATGGAAAAATATGTAACAAATTCCATTTTTGAAGGGGACAAAATATTCAATTTGTGTATCTCCTAAACTGAATTTCTTGCCCCCCTCAAAATGGAGTTTTTGTTTCCCTGTGGAATTGTTTATTGCCTAGACCTTGCCATGTAAGCAACATCTGTCTTCCTCATAATCTTTTCTTTGATGAACATCTCAGAATCTACAGACTTGGTCACATGCACAGTCAGTTCAGGGTAACAGTCATGTTATCAGGGATATTTTGATTGTCTGTTTCCCTAATCAGTTTATTAAGTTATGTGTCTTTATTAGTATCACAACTAGTAGATAGAATGAACTAAAAGTCACTTCCATGCTGAACTAGAAAAAATGTCCTTGGCATAATTTGTTCCTTAATCTTATTTGATAAAACTTTGACTACTTTTTCATAGTAGACTTTGAGCTTTTTTTCTAACCCCACAGTAATTCTTCTTAGCTCTCTTTTTCTCTGGTCTTGTTTGACCTGTTTTAACTTGTTCTCATAGAGCTACATCTTTGCCTTAGTTGATTATGATCAATGAGCAATTTTGTTTTGTTTTGCTTTGTTTATGCTGCACTGGTGATTGAACCAAGGGACTTTGCACTGAACTACAACCCTTGTCTTCTTTTTCTTTTATTTTGAGATAGAGTCTTACTTGTCAATAGGTTGCCCAGAGTGGGCTTGAATTTGTGACTTTCCTGACTTAACTTCCCATAGTGCTGCGGTTACAGGCTTTGAAATAACATTTTTATTTGATTGATTAATTGATTGGTTGTCATACTGGGTATTGAAACCAGGGATTTGTACATGTTAGGCAAAGGTGTTACCCCTGAGCTACACACTGAAATCAAAATAGCATTTCTGAGAGTGTGCTTGGGTTTTCCTATCCATACTCTGTTTTGAATAGTCAGTTTCCTCGAGGAGACTGATCAAGCTCTCTTTCATTTATTCCTGCCTTTTCCCCTATAGCTAAAATATTTGCATCATTCCTTTGGAGCTAGGAACTAGAATAGTGCCCAGCTTGTCTCAGAGTGACATCTTTGCTTTGCTAGGATGAAAGCAATTGCCCTCGATCTTGGCTTATCATCCTTGCCATCCCACCTCTGCCTTATGAGTATTCTGCACGAGAGCATTTAGATCCTAGATCCTAGCATTGGTGGTCAGTTCCTGATGTAGATTTCATATCCTATGTACCTCTCTGTCTTTCATTTTTATACCTCAGCCTTTTTCTGCACCTGTTGTTCTCCAGGTCGGAATTATGTAGTTCAATCCCATAAAAGAATAAATCTTTAGGGTTTTATTTTTATTTTACAGTGCTTAGTAGAGGGAATCTAGGAGATCTAGCTTTTCCTCTCAACTATTTTACATTTTACATTTATACTCTAATCCACTCGCGTTTATTCTATTCTCAAACTATTAAGCATTTTCTATTTCTAAGTCATTCCAGGATTTTGATTTTGTATAAATTTGCTTTTTGGTTCTCCTTCTAGTGCTTCTGACATATGCTATATAACTTTGAGTGCCATGCACATCGTGTTTTATTTTAATAGTGTCTTTTGGAGTTGTGCAGTGCACAGTCTGTGTTGGTGGAATGCAGCAACATTTATCATCATCTGTCTCATTATCATCTTCCACCTCCAGCTTAGAGTTTACTCCCTACTACTTCACAGAGCTAAGTATGTAAGTCAGTCAGAATCACATTGACTTACTGCCTTTTTACTTCTTTAATTTTGTTTCCTTATCTTCTCTAGTTCTTTCCCTATTCTCTTTATCATCACATGTTTTGCTTCTGTTGTTTTTTATTACTGCTTTATTGGTGTTTTGGTAATTGCATAGGTGATTAGGTGTATCCAACATTTAAAATAGAGTTACTGAGCACCTTTCAAGAAAGTATGTGCCAGCACTATGTTAGACCTTAATTTTTCTTGTTATTTACTTTCAGTGTGTGAAGTATATAACCATATTCAAAATTTTGATTACTTTCTATGGTTAGGGTCTAATATGGGGCTTTGAGAGAATAATGTGTGCCTTTTGTAGAGAGAAATTACTTTCATTTTCATGTTTGGGACAGATTTAGTTGCAAGCAACTCCAAGTTACTCAAAATGAAAAACTAGAATGTTTGCCAGCAAACTTGAAATCCCTCTACCAAAATAGGTTCCTTTATTTATGTATCCCTTACTCTGACCCAATTGCTGCTGCTAACTCTTATCCTATTGTGTTTGTCTCACACAAGCTATGTAATACTTATATAATTTACATGTGTATAATTTGTTTTGACTATGTATTTATCTTCTTACTATTTTCCTTCTAGAAATGAAAATCTCTCTTATTGATATAAGCAATTTCTACTTCGTAATTGTATTTTTCTCAAGCCCTTTTGATAAACTTGGTGACTTTTCCTTTTCTTTCCTCAAGCATCATTTTTCTCTGGTCATAACTATGTATATTAAACCTCATTAAGACCTGAGTTTTCTTTGGTATGGTTTAAGTGTAAAACACAAAGGTTCAGGTGCTGAAAGCTTGGTTTCCAGTGTGACCATGTGAAAACTGATAGAACCTTTAAAGTTGGTGTCTAACGGGAGGTCTTTGAGTTAGTGAGGATCTAGAAGGGAAAACTCGTGTCCTGGAGTAAATTCTCCTGAAAGCAAGTTTTTGTAGTAGTTGGACCCTGACCCTTGAATCCCTCTCAGGCTTCCTGTTTTGAAATGTGACCCCTTGCTCCCAAATATTCTTGCTAATATCATCTACCATCAGGTCGTCCCTCACCAAAGCTGAGCTAGTGATGGGGTCATGTCCATCGTGACCATTAATGATGACGTGTCAACCTGACTGGATTAAGTACTGCTTTGCAGACTAGTGAAGCACTTTTGGTTGTGTCTAGGGGTGTCATGGAGGTATGGCCTTGGACATTATATGGGATGTGATTTTAAAAATACAGTGACAGCTTAAATTTTAAAAAAATATGGCAGTAAAAGATATATTGCCATTAATTCCTTTCAGTATACTCCACCTCACTTTCCACACACGTATCCCATCCTTGGCAATGTATGTTTTGGTGTAATGTTATTTTAAATTTAAACCTTCACCATATCTTTCAGTCATCTCTTCTATATGGTCCCTGTCCCTTCCTTTCTGGTGGTGTTCCCCTGCCCTGTTTACAATCCACCATGAACTAAGCAGCTTTTTTATGCCACACACTTCTTCATGATATTTCTGGCTTGGAGCCAGCTGACCATAGATTGACTGCTCTGAAACCATGAACCAAATAAACTAATTCCTCCTATAATCAGAGATTGTCAGGAATTTAATTTCAGCACAGGAAAACTAACACACTATTGTACCTACAAAACTGTGAGGTAAATAAACTTCTTTCTTTTATAAAGTTAGCCTACCTCAAGTATTTTGCTACAATAACAGGAAATGGACTAGCATTTATTTTCACTGCAGAGTCAAAGACAAAGCACTAGTACAGCATGCATCATGATCCCAACACCCTTGCATTGACAGTTCAACATACCCATTTTCTCAGTTTTTCCTGACTCTTTTTTGCTTTAAAATAGTTACAACTTAGCACTTATATAATTCTACAAATTCTAGAACATGTTCGTATTCAATATATCTCATGTTCATAAAAAAAGTCAAGATATTTGTTAGATCACAATTTAATATTCAGTAGGGGAGCAGGGAGCAGTGGAAAAGGATCAGTGAAGGAACTAAGAGTGAAGCTGGGCTTGTACCCCTCTGTCACCTCCACCACACTGCTCCCTTGTAGACACCAGAGCCCACACCAAGCACAGAGCACACAGAGGCCATTTCTCTTAGGAGGAAACATCCATGTATTGGGGTACAGTAAATATCTTGGATGCATAACATGAGAAAAATCATTTTCCTCTACATAGCTAATTTTTTCCTGGACATGTGTTTTCCTACCAAGAAAGACTGGAGAGAAATTTCTCTATTGTCCAGTCAAGACACCTCTCTGAAGAAGACCATGCCTTGGACAGTAATGTTGTTGGCCTGGTGCCCTGGACGCTGTTGGGCCACACTGGGAGGGGCTGACTGGGGACACAGCCTTGATGGGGAAGGAGGGATGGGCATGCCTCTGGCCCTGCTGCTCACTGTTGAGCTGTCCAGTTTTCAAGGACTCTTGGCCATGGGGGTGCCTCTCCCTGGTAGGACAGCTGTGGCGCTTGGGGGTGGCTGCATGTCCTGGCTTTCTCCTGTGCTCTGAGGAACAGGAAACCTGGGACATTGGAGTGTGACCTTCTTCCTCTTTGTGCTGATTGAACTTCAAGGCACAAAGTTCAGGCTGAAGCATCGTTTTGGCTTCTAGCATCTGCCCAAGTGTTATCTTGAGCCATTGAGGCTTATCAGTGTTGTTGTCCACACGAGGTCTGTTTTTGGCTGGTCTATGATTCTGGGTCGTGGCAGGTGCAGGCTTGCCATTTTTCTGGTTGTCTTCTTGCCCTTTGATTTCTTTCTTAGGTAAAACCTGCTGTAGAGATGTCTTCATGCTTTTTTGGAAGTAGTCGTCTGAGGGGACTGGTTTCTTTTGTGGGAGCTGAAGATGTTTACTCTCTAAGGTGTCTTCTATTCCCCCATCCTGGGTGGGCTCAGAGGTCCCCAAGTCTCCCAACTTGTCTTCATCTTTTCCTGAGCTGGAGCTCCTACCAACCTCATGCTTGTCAGCAGAGACAGGTGTCTTGCTTTGGCTCTTTGGTGAGTGCTGATGTTTCAGGATCAAGGGCTTCTGCTGCCCCAGGCTGCTCCCTGTGTCTGCCATTAGGTCACCTGACAGCTGTGAAGTTAGCATGTCCTCTAGAGGCATGTTGTGTTGATGGCACTGGGACACCACAGACGCCAAAGGGGGTGAAGAACAGAGAGAGACAGTGGAAGAGTCTGGAAGGTGGACATCTGAGACACAGACTTGAGAGTGGCTCAGTGACTTGACCTCCACTCCATGCTGAAACTTGCTCCCAGTGTCTGCCCCAAGGCCTGGCTCTCCTGCCTCTTGGGCAGCACATATTGCAGGAAGCAAGGGCCTTTCTCTTTGGGTGGTGCTGCTCTCACGGGTTCTGCCCGTGAGGCTGGATGTGAGTTGCTGTGAAGGCCCTGCGCTGTCCTGTCTAGTGAGGGGGGCCTCTGAGGACCCCCGGCCGTCACCAAGAGGGATCCCTTCCAGGGCCCTCTCGGTCTCCTTACCCAAAAGAAAGGAGACAAGGAGACTGCCCAGTGCATGGACAGACTGCCTGACTGTCGCCTCCTCTCCCGGACATCCCTGAGGTGGTTTTCCCAGGAACGTGGCATCATCCGCCACTGCCCAGTCGTCCCGGGACACATCACCAGAGGAGGAGGGATGGGCACACTGTGGAAAGGGTGAGGGCGCAGCCTTTGTAGACTTAAAGATGTTTACAACCTTGAGGAGCTTGAGGGGGAGGCCCCACCTGTGCCTCACCCTACGCCTTGTACTCTGCATCTCCAGGTCCTGCTGAGTGCGTGGATTGGAGAAAAACTTCTGGATGGTGCTCACATGGGTTTCCTGACTCCTGGAGGATGCTGGATTTTTGGTTTCCTTGTGGGTGTGAGACTTGGAAAAGACACCGTTTACAGCGAGCCAGGACCGGCGTGCTCTCAGAGGGATCAGCCCCTCACGGATCTGCCACATCTTCACATCCAAATGTGGTTTCAGCACAGCTTCTAGACGTGTCTTATCTCTGCTTCCAAATGAGTCATTTCTTGTGTCACTGTCTATGGGCCACATCGGGTTTCTCTCTGATTCCTCAGAGGTTGCCCCCAGAACCTTCCCTGGGGAGCTTCCTAGGGCCCTGGAGAGATCTTTGGGGGCCTTGCCTAGAATATGCCCCAGATTCTTGCCTGAGTCCTTCCTTAGCTGGACCCTCATCTTCTGCCCATCCTTGCTGCATTCATCTGTAGACACGGATGACTGTGAGAGCCCAGGTTTGTCCTTTACCTGAGGTGAATGAGCTAAGTCACACTCATGCTGTGTGAGTAGTTCTGGAGACTCCTGGATCCTGCAGGGCAGGTCCTGCTGGTGTTGAACATGACGTTTTCGAATGTGTTGCTCTAGTTTTTCCTGGAGCTCAGAGCTGATTGGAAAACTCTCACGAAGGGTGGCAGCAGCACCCTTGCCTTGGCAAAGGTTGGAAGTGGAGGGACAGTAACCCTCCTGAGGGCTTCGGACTGCTGAGGGAACAGTCCGTCCATCTTCTAGGTGTTTCTTCGACAAGGGCCTTCCTGAGTGTTGAATTTCAGTTGCGATGAGTAACTGTGGGTTATGGGATATAGAACAGGATGCTCCACAGCCCCTACTGAGGGGCAGAGAAGGTGCTAACAGGACGAGGGAGGAGGATTGTGGGTGGGTCCGAGTCTGGGCCTGACCCAGAGCTGGGGGCTGGGATTGAGGTGTGGATCGGGGCTCCAGACAGGATGGGGCCTGGGCCAGGGAAAGCAGCGGGGACATTTGATCCTGCACGTGAACTGGGCATACAGGTGAGGTTCTGTTGAATAAGAAGGTGGGAAGGTATGGAATGGGAGGGTTCTGAGAGATCCCGGCAGTAGCCATTATGGATTCACTGTTCAGAGAGGGCAGACCCCAGAAAAGCTGGATCCATTTCTGCCCAAAGTGGGCCCCCAGGATCTTGGGATATGAGAGTTGCTGAGGACCGAGCTGCTGTTCTGGCTTCTCTCTTGTGTCCCACCAGGGTTGTGAGGTTGTGGCAGGATCTGGGGGACATGGTGGGGAAAGGGAAAGTGCAAGTGGCTGGGGTGAAAGTCTTCCCAGAGGAAGCAGGGGCTCTGGGGTCTGAGAGTTGGTAAGGGGTGTGGGTGAACGTACAAAATCAGAGGAGGTTGTTGATGGGCCTGGTGATGGAGAGGAGGCTGGTGATGGAGAGGGGGCTGGAGATAGAAGGTGTGGAGTGAGAGAAGGGGCCGCCTCTACCAGGGATGGAGCATCAGGGTCTGCTTCCTCCCCATCGGGCTGTGGGGCTGTGACAGGTGCTCTGGTACCCGCATTAGCAGGGTGGTGTTGGTGTGCGGGCTGTTGAGAGCTTCCTTGGCCAGGGAGCAGCCTCTGCAATCTGTAATAAATAGGAGTTGTAACTGTAGCTAGGGGCTGGGGTGAGCTCAGTTGGGCCCTGGCCCTTCCACCGGCCCATACCCCGACTCTAGTTTTCCTGCTACTCCTCATCCCAGGGTCTTAACATCCCCCACTCCCAGGATCTCCCCTTCCCAGGTTACACCAATGCTTCTTTGTGACATCACAGGCCTTAGAAGGAAAGAAGAAAGGGGAAAGTTCTTTACCTGTTTAGAAGGGGAATTAGCTTCTTATCCAACTTCCGGTAAATCTGGTAGTCTGCAAAAGGTGGGAAGTGGGAAACTGGGTTATAAAGGATGAAGGGTAAGGAGGGGATTGGGATTTTACAGGAGGCTGAAGGGAATGTCCCCTGAGAGGACACCATTGGAGGTCTGACTCTAGAGACTAAGCATTGCTGTCCAGTGCCCTCCGGCCCTGGCTGACAGTGGTTGCATAGAATACAGATGGGCAGCGCTTGGTCAGTACAAAGTGCTTCCTCATCCTTCAACATCCACAGCCCCCACGACTGTGCTGTGCTGGACCAATGGGGTCATCTCACAAAGGAATCAGCCTCTGCCAATTTTAACAGCTGAGCCTCAGTTGGACTTGGAGGTCCCATTTCCAAATCCAGGCTGTACTGCTCCTCTGCTGCCTGCACTGCCCCCTACTGGACAAAACCCTTCTTTGTCCCAGCACAGCTTCATTCTGAGCAAGAAGCCTGAGAAGCATCCCCCCGCTGATTGACACTCCAGGAGCCCCTCTCTCAGGGCTCTGCAGCTGACAACCTTGGAGCCCTGGTGTTGGTCCCTGAGGGATAAGCAAGGTCATGTTAATTCTGATACTGCAGGACTGAAAGGCAGAGCCTTACCTAGGAGAGCAGCTGTCCTCTTCCTTCTCCTGTTCCTACTCCTGCTCTTCCACCTCATCAGCACTGGATGCTGAGAAAGAAGGAAAATAATGAGAGGCCCAGGCTGGATTCTCCTCTCTCAGTCAAGCTGCAGACATTCAGTATTCATGAATATTATGCTACTCAACAATGAATTAAGGAACCGGTGTTTTTTCTTCCCTTTTACTCATTTTTTAAATTTCAATATTTTTTCTGTCCTTCTTATAGAAACACAGCAACTTTCTAACATGAGATCCCCTATAAGAGGTCTTTGATCCTCTGCTCAAAAAACAAACTCATTTCTACAGGTGCATCTCACCTGCTAGAGACCAGAGGCAGCTGTAGCCTGGGATGGGTCTGGACTCAGGCCCTTAGCACTGCCCCTGATTCAGCCCAGCACAGAGCAAAGGCTGGGCCCTGAAACACCTGCCATGAGACTGGGATGATGAACCAGTGCTCAGGGCCTGGCCCTCCCCAAAGATCCCCAACTCTCAGGGATCCAGTCCTCATCCACTGAGTTACTGTGTTCTCCTTTACTCTGGCCAGCAAACCACCCAGAGATCTGAGATTGTCAGACAGATGTCCTGGTGCCCACTTCCCCTGCCCTGCCCTGCCTGTCCCAGAGGAAGGATATTGTGTTCTTTTCTGAGTTTTCCCTCTCACCAGTCTGTCTACTTGACTTGGAAAAGTTGAAACTGTGATAAAAGGAGAGAATCATTCTCTGCTGGCTCAGGGCTGAGAGTTTCTTACCTTTTTGATGTTTCTCTTTTTCCTAGATGGTTGTAAGGTTGGTTCACCCTGGAGGCACGGCAGTAACAAAAGGAAGAGCCCCACTCCACCTGCAAAGGCAAGGATCATATCGGTCACAAAGGTAGTGGGGCTGGGGCTCAGCCATGTGGCGCTAAGGCTTTTCAGAGTAATGAGAAGATTCTCCATCATCTGAATCACAGTGTTGGTCTCAGGCAACTGAGTCCTGAGAGTTCTCTCTGGGGTTGAAGAGGAGGGCCCGGCCTGCATCACAGAGCTGTGTTCTCCTCATCACAAAGGGCTCCTGGGGTGGGGGAGGGGCGAGGAGAAGCGGCTCAGCCCCAGCCCTGCCCCTCCCCCAGCCTCCAGGACCGTGGGTGCTGCAGCCTCCTGGGCCTTCTGGACCCCTCCTTCTGCCTCCACCTGCCCAACCCGTCAGAAACAGACCATAGTCTATTTTCTATTTGTTCCTCCTGGAACACAAGTGTTACCTGGCTCTTTTATCCAGTTGAGATCCTGGCTGATGCTAACATGTCAATGATATTTTTATAAGTTCATAACATTTGTAATTCTTAAACTGCACAAAGTGGTCTTAAGAATCACCATATCCATACACACACAGAGATAGATACGTATAATCCCTACATCCTTTCACAAACCAATCTAATATTTTTAACAAAACAATGTGATGTTCAGTTCCATCATTTTCTCATTTGTATCAGGAAAAGGCCAAACAAAACTACAATGAGATACTCTCTCACCCTAGTTAAAATGGCTATAGTTATTTCTTTTAAAAAATGCTAACAAGGATGTGGAGAATGGGAAACTCTCATACAGCATTGATGGGAATGTGAATTAGTGCAGGCATTGTGGAGAGCAGCATGGAGGTTCCTCATAAAACTAAAAATAGGTCTACTGTGTGATCCGGGTATCCCACTTCTGGGAATACATCCAAAGGAGATGCAGTCAGCACCCCAAAGGGACACCCGTGTGCGGATGTTTATCCAGCACTACCCATAATAGCTAAGATGCTAAATCGACCTAGGTGCTCATCAACCTACACTATTCAGGTATAAAGAAGAATGAGACCCTGTTGTTTGTACCAAGGATGGAGCTGGGGGTTATGTTACATGAAATAAGGCAGATGCAGAAAGACAAGTGCTACTTAGTTCTCTCTCATACGGATGCTTAAGAAAAGTGAACCTGAATGTAGGGGAGTGGCTGTTAGAGGTTGAAAAGGGTTACATGGATGAAAAGAATGTAAGAATGTGGATGTGATCAGTGAGTGCTGCATATGTGCATTGAAATGCCACCCTGAACCCTGTTAATATGTACAATTAATATTTTTAATAAAAGGACTTTGATTCTTAAAAAAATATTTAATATTTGGTAAGGTGAAAAAAAACTAGTACATAATTATTTATATAGTAATAGATGTTACACATAGTCCTATAATTTCTTACTTAAAGTAGAGAGCACATTCCAGGATACCATGTATGACTTAGTTTATTGTTCTATCTAAAGAGAAGTTGGAAATAAAAATTCTGATTTCCTTTATGGCAATAAAATATTTGTCATTTAACAAATTACTGAGGAAAAATTTTCTATCCCTTACATTTTCTAGAAGAGTTCGCATAGAACTGGTATTATTTTTTACTAAATATTTGGTAAAATCCTCAGTAATACCACTTGAGGCTAGTGTTTTCCTTGTATGAAGGTTTAAATTACAAATCCCATTTTTTAATGAGAACTATTCATATTGTCTATTGCTAAGTGAATTTTGGCAGTTTGTGTCTTTCAAGAAACTTACAACTTTCATCTAATTTATCCAATTTATCAGAATACCGTTTTTCAATTTTTTCTTATTACGTTTTTTTTTTTTTGGTACTGGGAATTCTTATTATGTTTTTAATTCTGCATGGTCTATAGTAAATACATTTTTGCCTTGCTGACATTTATAATTGGTTTGATTTATAATTTGAGATTCATAGTTTCCTTTTAGTTTACAAAGTTTATAAAGAACAAATAATATATGCAAAAATGAATCATAAGTGCTAGCAATGAAAAATTGAAAATTAAACAATACTATTTGTAATATCACCAAATATATGAAATTCTTAAGCATGCATTGAACAAAATATGTATCAAATGTACATGGTGGAAACTTACAGGAATAGTTACCTTTCTTGTTGCTACAGAATACCCAGCACTTAAAGTGAAGTGAGGAAAGGCGTACTTTGGGTCACAGTTTGTAAGGGTTTCAGTCCATAGCTGGCTGGCTCCAGGCAGGGTAGCGTGGCAGAGGGGTATAAAGAGGAGAAATGGCTCATGGCAGTCAGAAGGCAGCAAAGCAGTGAAGACGTGAGGAAGCAGCAGCAGGCTTGCCTTCTTTCTTTCACTTTATATCCATCCAGACTATCTGTTCTGGGTGATGACACATACACCCAGGCTTTGGCGTCTCATTTTCTACCCTTGATCTATGCCAAACCATCAGTTAACTAATTTAGTAATCACACACCCTTAATCCCAGCATCACACATTTAATCTCAGCATCACATATCCTAGATCCAGCCACCTCCGAAAAACCCTACCTATGACCACATGAGGCCTTCAGGTGACCTATAGATACAAGCCATAACACTTATAAAAGTTAAAAATGACCTAATAAATGTAGATATGTACTATATTTGTGAAGTAGGAGGCTCAGTAGTGTTAAAATGCCATTCTTCCCCAATCTTAGATTCAGCATAACTAAATTCCAAATTGAATTCTATAGAAATTAACAAACTGATTCTAAAATTTATATAGAAATATAATGGATTTAGACTAACGTGTTCTTGGATAGGGGAAGAACAAACCAGCTCAATTTAGAAACTTGTTGTCTTCAAAACTGTGTAATATACTAGAAAAGATAGGCATGTAGATAAATAAAACATGAGTACCAAACAAACCCACCAATATTTGATCAGTTGACTTTTGACAATGTTGCAAGGTAATTCAATGGAGAAATGTCAATCCTTTCAACAAATGGTGCTGATAAATTTAACATTTTTATGAAAAAATGAAGTTTGATTTATATGTTTTAGTTCATATTGAAATTATCTCAAAATTGACCATAAACTTAAAAATATAAAATTTCTAGAAAAGGTATAGGCTAAATTTGATTCAGCAAGAATTTCCTAGGTATGACTCCAAAAGCAGGATTCATGAAAGAAAATGTTGAAGTTAGACTTCATTAAATGTAAGAAATTTTTATATTATTTGATAAACAACATGATAGTAGGCTGGGGCAAAATAACTGAGGAAATTGACTTGCAGGAAGAAAGATTAATTTTCTTTTTCAGTTTTTTGGGTTTTAGTCTCTTGTCACTGCTTCCATTGCCATGTGCCTGTGATGAAACAAAGAATCCTAAATAGGAGGGCATGGTGGTTCAGAGGTGCTCCCATAATGGTTGCATGGGTAAGATGTTGGAAGGGGCCAGAAATAAAATATACCCTTCAGGAACACAGGCTTAGTGACCTATTTCTTCCAAATAGGCCTGGTTTTCTGAAGTTTCTGCCACTTTCTAGTAATTCTCTCAAATTACAAATCTATAAGTGAATTAATCCATTGATGAGTCTCAGTATTCACTTCCCAAAAACTCCACCTGTGAATATTGCTACATTGGGGACCAAGCCTTCAATATGTGAGTCTTTGGGTGACATACCAAACCATAATAAACATTGAAAAGAGAATTTGAAGAGAAACTATAGGCTGGAAGAAACTATTCCCGAATCATATATATTTGTGTGTGCATACATACATGTGTACATTATCTTCAACGATCCATTATAAGGAAACAATCAACTGAATAAAAGAGCAGAATATAGAAGAGAAATTCACCATAGATATCATATATTTTTGGCAAAAACCACGTGAGAAATGTTCAATATCATTAGTCAATAGAAAATGCAAATTAAAATGATCATAATGCAATAAATATCATTGCATACCTTTTAAAATAGCTAAAAATAATTTTTAAAAAAGCTAATATGGCATACAGTGGGGAGAAGACAACATACTTAGATGACTGATGTATTTGTGGTAGGAATGAAAAAATGTGCAGCCAGATAGAAACAGTAATTTCTTATTGTGGTGGATTGATTAATGGTCAACTTCAGTGGGAATGCTCAGCTGAACTGTCAGTGTGGTTCTGGGTATGGAAGACCCAGCTGAAGTTGTTTCTGGAATGACATAAAAGGAGAACTAGAGGGGAGGATTGTATGCTGCTGATTTTCATGAAAAAGCTGCCTTTCAGTGGTTTTGCTTCGAAGGATCTTTGGGTGCTGTCTTCCTTCCGGACAGCTTCAATTCTCGTCTTCATCTTGAGTGTTATCTCCTGACTTCCAGCACAGATCTCTCAGCTTCTGGCACAAATCCTTCACCCTAGTGGCACAGACTTTCTAGTTTCTACCACTGGCCCTTGGGTCTTTCCATATCCTTGATATGTACTTGCATGGGACATTGCCGTGGGCTCCAAGACCTTGACTAGATCCTTTGGGTCTCGGGTATGCAGACGGATGTTTTGTGCTCTTCTACATCTGGCTCTTGGAAGCACTGATGAATACACTTGTGCAATGAAACACACATTCACCACATTTTCCAATGTTATGGCTTGTGTCTAGATGTTCCCTCAAAGCCTCATACACTCATAGGTGGGGCTTTTCTGAGCTTGTTGGATCTAGGGAGTGTGATATAGGGATTAAAAGCGTGTGGTACTAAATTAGTCCACTGATTGGAATTAGGATAGTTTTGAGTGTGGTTGAGTGGATTTACTGAAGATGGAAGCCACACCCTGGGTGTTAGTGGTACCACCCAAAAGGCTTGTAGTCTAGATAAAATTAAGGGGAAAGCCAGGCTGGCTGCTTGCTGCTACTGTTTCTGCCTGCTATGCCGTGGACCTGGACCGTTTCTCCCCTGCCATATTTCTGTGCTCTGCTGCCCTGCCTTGGAGCTAGCTGACTATGGACTGAAACCTCTAGAAACGGTGTGCCAAAATAAACCTTCTGTCCTTTAACTTTGGATGTCAGGTATTTTGTTGCAGCAATGAGAAAAGTAAGACACCCAGCAATCCTAAGATATATCCAAGTAAAATGATAACCTCTATACAAAACTAACATGTGTTCATATTAGCTTTGTCTATCAATTGCAAACTGAATAAATAAACGGATACATACATACAATGGAATACTACTCTGCTAAAAAATAGAACTACTGATATTAACAAAAG